TTCCCGGAGAATAAAGAAAGACTTATCATTAATGCCATCACAATGCTCATTGCTCACGAAGGTACTGTATATCTTTGCCAATAAATATATTTAGTGTTCACCCCTAAAATATACATATTCTGACTGCTATTACCTTCACAGGTATTCAATATATACATAAAATAGTTAAAATGTTTCGTCTATTTGCAGGAGACCAAAACAAAATATCAGATAAAGATCTCGAAGCACTGTTTCACGCTTTGAGACATTAGGTTGGATCCAAAGCAGGTTTCACAACGCTCACTAGGTGAGAAACGTTTATCTTTAACCACAACACACGCTGTTTACTCAACCAGCTCACTTTCTCTAGACCGTGTTTCTGTTTTGTTTTTACAGCTTCTATGAGAAGGTTGGTGTGAAAACTGTGAAAGCTTTGAAGAGGAATAATGAAGCCGTGACTCACGCCGCTGTCGACATACTGTGTGCTCTGATGCAGGTAAAGAGAGGGCTTTCCTTTAAGCGGCCAAAATGGTCAGACCGGTCATATTTAAATTTAAAATAGAGTATTTCGTTAAGAATATAGTTGCGAAATTTCCGAGCTAGACAGATGCAAGTAACGATATACTTGAACGCAGAGTTCTTGAAACACTCTAAAATACCAGTAATCTGTCTGTACCGAGATCAACAATAGGACCGGTCTGGCCGTTTTTTCCGTATAAAGGAAAGCGCCAACACTTTAACGATGAATTTCCTGGTAATATGTTGCCAAATCTGTCACTGTCATTAGTGTTACCCCTTTAACTTGCAATCCACATAAACTCAGCCAACTTTGAAATCTGAATGTTAACAGGATCCAATTTTATCGAAACCAATTCTGTTTTTTTATATAGCCAACGCACGATAACTATGACATTCGACAAGAACAGATAAACAAAAGCTCTTTGTTATCCTCTGAAAAATTTCTAAGCAGTTTGTTGGAAATTCTCACGATAAATGTTGTAAGATGTGCGGTGTTGGTTGCCTATAATCTATGCTGAACCCTTGCATTTTATTTTTCCATCCCTCTTGTATGTATATAGCTTTGTTTTGGAAGAGAAATTCCCTTGCAAAACCCAGCAAGTGATTCGTAGCAACTGCCTTTCTAATTTGAACTACCTTTCTAACTAAACACAAGAAATAGATTAACCATGAAAACTTTTCTTCTATATTCGTTCTACTGGGGTTTTAGTTATAAGTGGATTGCTTGATTTTCTGACGTTTGCTCTGTGTCCTCCTTACAGGTTTGTTCTAGTTGCTTTGCAATATATTAAAATAATACGGGGGTGAAGTTGAACATTCATGTTAAACTAATAGTAAGGTGTGATTGCTTCCAATATTTTGAATCAACTCATGTAGTCTGTTACAATAAATCGACTATTGCATATTCCTCTTAGTGAGACAACAGATGATGAACAGTTTGGGAAATTACTGGAGAAAGTTGCAGGTATGCTACAAAGAAATTTGAGGAACTTTTCATTCAACTTGTCTTCTTGGTAGTTTATGGCTCTTTGACTGAGGTTGAGAGTTGATTAAATAGCCTTTCTCTCTTTACCTTTTTGGTGAAGTTTACCACGTCCACTAGCTTGACCCATGCATAGGAGCAACTCATGAAGTCTGTTATTTGTTTGTCTAGAAATGGGTCATTGCATTTATCGATTGTTCCAGGTAGGTTTACGACAAAACTAAATAATAGTACCAATTTTACCATTTCTTCGCTTATGTATGTTTTACTATTGCCCCGCTAATGGTTCTTACCAATCGTGGTTTTGAATTCGTTCCTCAACAATTTCAGCATCCGTCGACAACAATTGTGAAAGGTGCTGGCATGGTTCTGAAGGCGATAATCGAGGTACGTTTTATTCATTCATTCATCCATTGAGAATTTTCTGCCTTTGACGAACGTCATTTATAACGCTCTGCATTTTTTTAGCCGTGATGAATGTACATATTAGTTCAGTTGATATTTAAGAGGTTTTAAAGGGTCTTAATTTTGAGAGGTATTATACACACTTCAAATCAAGCCAGGAACAGATGACGGAAAAATGAGTGAACTATAGATCCTCCGGCAGGAATCGAACCTACGCTTTTGCGATGCCGGTGCAATGCTCTTGTCACTGAGGACGTACAGTTGACTCATTTTTCCATCAACTGTTCCCTGCTTGAATTTGAAGTGCGTATAATACCACTCGAAATTAAGACCCTTTAAAACCTCAAGAATATTCCTGCATCGTGTGAAGTGCCTAAAATCATCTGTTAATATTTAGTTAGAACTTCACTTTAGGAAGCTGATGAAGAAACCGCGGCAAAAATACAAGTTCTGGCGCTTGCCGAGGGCGCTCTACCAAAACGCTTACGCATGGCCATGTTTACGCAAAGCACTGATAGACGTTCGCTATTGAACAGGTGCGAATTAGTGTGATAAATTAACAAATTGTTGCAGAGGTATAGCCTCTATTCCATCCGCAGGACCTGAGTTGTATTTTAGCAACATTCTCAGATTCATCTTAAAACTTGTGATTTTATAATCCTCTATATACTAGCCATCTGTAAATAGTTCAATTGAGACTAACAAGCATACTCCATAAGTAATTTATAATCATTATTGTTGGCATAGCATCATCCAACAGCAATGGCATTACTTGCGAGAATAATGTTCGTATTAAAGTAGTTATAGTTTTTAATGTCTAAAATATACAAGAAAGTTTAAATGCGAGATTTCCTGTTCATAATTTTTGGTTCATAAACAATTATGTAATAAATTTGAATACGATTTTCACAGCCTGCTGGTTTGCTCTATTACCTTGAAAGCCCTGACGAAGTAAGAAATCTTTGAAAACTTTTTTGCGAGGGCCATTATTTACATAAACCCATTGAGGTGATTCTGACTAACCAATCGTATTCATGACTAAGTGGTATCAACTGCTTTGGTAACTAAACTCCATCATTCATCCTTAAACTGTGCCAACTGCCCCACTGAGGAAATAATTAAATGGTAATTCATTCAGAAGTGTAAAACCTTTTTGTAAAGAAACAATTTTGTTGGAAAGTTTTTATCTTTCCTTCAGCCACCAGAGACTGAAGAAGATCGTTTATCAATTCGTGACAATGTAAAGCTTGCAGAAGTACGTTTTAAATCAACAATCGTGTTCCAAAATTTCATAATGCATGCTTGCATGTACGTATAAGCCTGTTATTTCACGTGCTATACTTGTGTCTTAGAGCTCTGGAAAAACGAGGGGAACGTTGAGGAATCAACTTGAAGGATATCTCTCGCATTGGAGGACAAAAATAGGATTCAAATCCAGGAAAAATGTGAGAATTTAAATCCAGTTTTTTTATTAAAAGTAAGTGTTCATATTAAGAAAATGGGAAAATGTTCTAGTCGTTTGAAAGATGAAAAAGCAATGATATTTAAGCGGATCTTTTTTACAGATTCAGTCAAGATCTGACAGCGTACAACCTGATTTGGAATTACAAGGTGAGTCTCGAAGTTAAGGTTAGTTTCCGTTGAAAATATAGGAAATGGAAATGTAATGGAGGATTTCTTGTCGCTATGAGTATAACAAGACAAATTCAATAGTCCTGACCTCTTTCTCTAAACTGTTCTCGTAAAAGAGTATGAAACAATTTCTATGTTTTCAATGTGACAGACGCGAGAGGAACTTCTGGGGCACTCGAATCTGATTTGCACGCATTTGCAATGGAAAAAGATCTGAGTGGAAACTACGTGTCTTTTGGAATCACCTTTAGTTTGAAGTCCTGTATGAATGTTTAGCTGATGAACTGAAATAGGTTAGTGATAAGCCTAACTGCTCTAGCTTTTTAACAGTTCTTCATAAAGCGTCCCCCCCTTATTCCTCGATAGGAATCAAACTCAGTAACGTATCTCTGCTATCAGGTGACTATTATTTGAGAGTCTTGTTGGAACAAAACGACGAGGAGACGCCGATAACAAATGTGTGAGTCCACGACATTTATCTATCAGGGTTTGCAAATATTCAAACTACTTTCCATGTGCTTTTCTGTCTGGCTTCCCCCTATTCTCTATATTGCTGCACAGTTCACGCAATGTTATTTGTCCTGCAGAATGTAGTAGAGAAGTATAGAATCATGGATGAAACCATTCAAGATTCGATCGACTTTTCTATTTTGTTTTCAGGCTCGAGTTGTCTAACGATCTGTATCACTGATTCCTATTGACAACTAAACCAACTATGAAAGCAATGTGCCTTCAGGTGAGGATGTCGTTTAGCGCGAATGTAGCCATGTGTAGCCTTCGAAGAATGAATTAAACAAATTGGAATATTTCATTCACAGGCGATGACTAAAGTTTATGGAAAATATCACGAAGAGATTGGAGCTTTTAATGACACCAAGCTAAGGATCATCTGTTATTGATCCAGTGTTACTGCAGAAGCCTGAACTAAACTAACTTTATTCATACTGTTTCGTATTTTTAGCATTTACATGAAAATGGCATCACTAACAGGGATTGGAAGGTAAGCACGCCCTAATTTATTTATCACTACTGTCTTTATATCCTAAACTTTAACGACCATAATTTAACTTTTTCTTCTTTAGCCAGAAAATGTTTTATTGTGTTCCTCGTATGATGAAACGCTTATAAAGGTGTGTGTCGGTTGTGTATTGAACTTGTGTTTAAATTGCCCTTTAAATTGTCTTTGAAGAAACCATTCGATGTGACCATTGCCAGCAAATCCTGGAAGTCACTATAATCTCAATTCCGAGTTTTGTCCGTGATTTCGTTTTACGAAAGCAGAGCGCATTCTGCAAACGTTTTAGGTTCAGTTATTTCTCATTGTTACAGATCTCAATGATAACAATTAATTTTTTAGATCAGAATTCCTATATGGAAACACTCTGTGGTACACCAAGTTACCTCGCTACCAAAATGTTAATCCCGTAGCCTGAAGAACGATCCTACAAGAAATCGTGTGACTGCTGGAGCCTGGGAGTTATACTATATGTTTGGTATGCCATATACTTCAGTTTACTCAAATTCACGTAGTGAACACGATTTGTAATGAAGCTGGAGGTAGCTTAACCTCATTTCAAAATTGGAGTACGTCAATGAAAAGTTAACGTCTTTTAGACTTTCCGGATCTTCTTTATTTTCAAAGCAGGCAAATAACCCATTGGAGAAACAAGTCAAAGAAGGGTCGTATAAATTTCCGAACAACCTCTGGAAGAATGTTAGCAGTGAAGCTAAGGATCTTATAACAAAACTGCTTACTGTTGGTCACAGAAAATGCATCACGGTTTCAGAAGCTCTGGAACATCCTTGGATGAAGGTGATGATGAAATTACTAACCGCCTTATAACACCCCGCATCTAAGATTTTTCAAAATCGGCTGACCTTTTTCGTCTGAAGTCCCAGCTTTTTCGAATTGTTAGAATTAGTTTGGTTGAAGTTTAGAACTGATACAGCTATCCAGCATAAATAAAGTCAGTTTAGTTCAGGTTTCCTCCTGTAGTAACACTGCATCAATACGGGATGACCCCTACTGGACCTCCATGAAGGACAATTTAGAACTGATAGAACTATACGGTATAAATAAAATTAGTTCAGTTAGGAGAGAAAGCTTTTAAAAGTGTTAGATTGATCCACGATTTAACAAGTTTTTTGTCTTTTGTAGGATAAAGAAATGATAGAAAAAGCAGAAAAAATGATAAACCGACCGTGGATGGAAGATCAATGTCTCCGCCCTTATAAAAGGTATGTTGAAAACTACGATACTTGTCCCGTTCTTCCGTCCAATGACCCTTATTTTCAACTCGCAATTGCAATGAAACATTACATGTTTGCAAGTTACATCGAAATTTAACTAGCTTTCCGAAACAATCTCAAGGCGCTGTTACACTACGCAACTTTCCTTGCAAATTGCAAAACCATTCTACTCCTGAGGCATCTAAAGTTGTCAAATACGAACATCTATTACGATCTGCTAACGTTTCCTTAGTATTTCGAACACTCTTTACAAATTAACATCCTTCGGAGTTATAATTGCATTGCAAGTTGTAAGGAAAATTGCATATTGTATTGTAGCGCCTTCAGTAAAGTTGAAAACTCACCGTGGAATGAAACATTGCATGTCGGCAAGTTAAAAGGCAGAAAATAACTGTCACCGTACATGGTGAAGACTGGCCGACGGTCACGTTCAGCAGACGAGGCTCTGCGAGCAAATAAAATACTCAGTGGCGTAGCCAGCACGACAATTTAGCAGCATGACTGAAAATGCTTCATGTAAGATCACATCACTAGTTATTCCGATAAATAAAAGAACAGGGGCCGGTTGTTCGAAAGGTGGATAAGTCGCTATCCAACGGATAACTCACTATCCAACGGATAAGTTTTATCCAGCGTGTGATTTGGGTTGCACGAAGCTTGTATAACTTTATCCAGAGGATAAAAATCGCTATCTACCGGATAAATTTATCCAAGGTCCGGAGGTGGTTTAAATCCACTATCCAGTGGATAAATTCAAAGATACAAGGTAACACTGTAAACATTTATATAAAATAGGACAAAAATGCAATATTCCTCTTACTGTGTTTCAACAAACTAATACGCATCATGATTGTATTCACTATATATTAAAAATGTTTTCGAAGTGCAATTTGTCGCAGCAGCGTTTCACGTTGCCTACACATTCCGTTCGACCGGCGATTTTTTGGACATCCTCGCATTTATAACAGGTGGTAAATTTACTATACGCTTCTAATCAGTTTATAAACGCGAATATGCAAAGAAAGATTCAACCTATTCCAAGGAAACTTGCTAATATCTAAGTAATTTCATTCACGAACATTAAAATAGTGTTTCTAAATTTGCTATTGGACCGAAAGGCAAAGCGTTGCAAGGTCAAGGAATAAAATTGCAATGTGTTTAATTAATAAAATCACTATGATGTGAAGTGCAAAGTTCGAGCAAATCACTTGTTCAAGCCTTTTCCATTCAGTAACTATACTCGAGAATTCGTAATGATTATGAATTCAATGTTGTAAATGCTTAGCAACAGCTGACGTTGTGGTACGAAATTTCAGAATAATACTGTTTTCTTCTGGTAAATTTTAACTTATCTATTGGGTAGCTATCCACTTCACTATCCACGCTTCCTGCAACGCGTTTTTATCCAATGGATAACTATCCAGATTTATCCGTTGGATAGGACTTATCCGTTGGATAAGTTATCCATCTTTCGAACAACCGGCCCCAGTTCCATACCTATACTTTTGTACGTGTGAAACTTTTCGCTTGATTTTCTTTTAATTGTGAGAATCCGACCGTGCAGCAAACATTGAAATAAAGCGAAACACTAAACTTGATTGTGATAGCCCTGAGTATATACCGCTATAATAGCTTGTTCCTCATAATGATATGCGGATCCTCGTCCAGGTATAACTTCTAAAACACGCCTTATTTTACTTGTATTCCAATGCACCTAAGTTAGTAAAAAACCTGACAAACCCGCTGGTAGGGTGTAAAGAATTATTTCTAAATCAAAAACTCGCTCTTACATAAGCCACTTATGAAAAATTTCGCTATATATTTCAGTCAGATGGATCTCTCAGTCATTTCTCATTCCTTAGTGAACAAATAGTATTTCAGTGAATTGCTAGAACATACCTGAAAACAGCTATAAACTTCAATTCTCAAAGATATGTTGCGTACCATGTCTTTGGATGAATGCGGATGTAAAGCGCGGTTACAGTTGGTGATAGGACATTTCCACCAGCGAGTCTCTAATGAAATGAATAATTGTTAAACAATTAATCTTAATCACACATTAAAAGTTATATGACCGCATGGAAATGAGTGATGCATATAACGTGACAGGGTAATCTGTAGAAGCCTTGCTTATTAATCCAGCTAACCCGACTAGTCCATTTATTTTGTAATGATCGAATTTTTGCCCGTCGGAACTACAGGACACAGAATAGGTCTTCACCCACTAATTATAATCACGACGACTTTGAGTGAAATCGCTCCGACAAACATCTTTCTTGCCGAATGCATTTGGTCCTGGTTATTTTTCCGTGCAGACCAGGAAGCTGCCTCATTTAACGACCATGTCCTGTCGACTTATCCGCATTCCCAACACTTGTTGCTATTATCTGGGATGTTATGTGTCTTCAGTACGTGGCCAATAATTAGTATCAATTATCTTCTGGCACCAAAACACCATCGAACAATCATCAACAAAATGAAATAATGCATAAATTTTGCCATACACGGCTCCTCCAGAATTGAAACCAGTCGAGGTACAGCGTTATTTCCATTGATTTTGTGAAATCTTTACTTGGGGGTTAACATCGAATTTTATCACATTCCCATATAGGGGAATTACTGAATAAAAAAATAATGTCCAACAGTCCTAATATGACATAATAATAAACTGAACATATACCATGTAGCCTGCAATATTTACCTTGCTTGGTATGTCAGTCCATCAAATCCATGTATGGCACAGCGATGGATGGAGGTGTAGTCAGTGATAAGAGAAAGGTAATAATTGTTAGCAACTCCTGGGTTGCCATACTTTATTTGATCTAAAATTGAAACACAAGGAACAAGTAAATTATTATATTATTGTCCAGGGTTGTGAGGCTATCAGCATTGTGATATCCCAGGTTCATGCGTACCGCTACCATGGGACAACATTCCTTAGCGAACAAAGTATTTCAGTGAATTGCCAGAACATACCTGAAGAACCGCCATAAACTTCAATTCTCAAAGATATTTTGCCGTACCAATTCGACTCTATATGCCATAGAATCTACAATTGAGATTACAAGAACATAACTATCACACAATTGAAACTATAATTGTATATGAATCACAAGGGCCTATACAGTATAGTAACAGCATGTATTTTTGACTTCTATAACACAAGAATATACAGAACAAAATGCAGGTTGTTTTCTTTCATATTCACATAATACCCACCCCTGACAGTTACATATATATTGGTAAATGCAATTACATAGGAAAGGGAGAAAAAAAATCTATTTTTTATAACACCAGTGAAATATTGTGTACGCATAATACTTAGCGCTATGACCCATGCTGTCATGCTTCCATCACCAGATATCATGAAATCATCTTGGTTTTTTAATGTTGAAATTAATCCGTTTAATTTAAAAAGCACAAAAATACCACCAAAATATAGCTCGAAAATTTCTAATCAAGAAATTAATCAATATTGCTGTTAACCTGACACTGCAGTGCAGCTCTAAAAATCATATCAAATTACACAGGATTACAAAATGGAAATATAACTCGCCTTTGGAATTTCGTTATTTTCTTCGTTATTTTTTCCTGTCGTCTTTTAACCGTTACATATAAACTGTAAAGGCATTAGTTATCTTTTCTGATAGGATTTAAGTCAGGATGGGCAGAAAAACTCGAAAAATATAGATTTTTTATTTGTTATTGTGTATAGCGAGGCGTTGCTCAGCCGCATGCACAAGTGGTTGTCGCGTGAGGTTAGAGGTGTCAAAAACGTAATGTTGCCTACCCCGTGGGGGTAAAATAAGCCAGAAATCGATTTCTGGGTAAAATTGTCCCTAGAGGTCATAATTGTCAAATTTTCGCTAATATGGTGATAATTATATGCACATTTTCGGGTTTCCGTTTGTAAACACATTTGTTGGAAATATCACTACAAATCGCCAAAGCAACTGTATTTCGAGTAAAATATATGAAAATATTGATCCCAATGTAAGCTACAAATATTTGGAGGTTTTTAGGCGAGATTTTTGGAAGGCTTTGCGTATTTTTGCTTCTCTAACATTCAATTTAAAAAGTACAAGTTCTGCAATAAATATCTTGGCTTATTGGAAAGCTTTTGAAATGAACTAAAGTTATACAAATAGGTAAATGTTTTTTCTTTAAGATAATACAATTTCTAGTTGAATTGATAAAACACTTCCAGATAAAACCGAAATTATCTGTGTGCGCCGTTTACGACCGGACAGCAATGAGTTTAGTGGTCTCATATTTATTAAAATGGGTGAAGTATTCGCAGAGTAATCACAAGTTTAAATGAGCTTACCACTTTGAAATATCCTCTGATCGGACGTCTAACTGAGAGGATCCCTTAAACATCGAGAATACTTCATTAACAAGTGCCGCATTCTGTCCTGTTTGAGAAGGTACAAGAACTTCATCTTGGGTATTGGTTACTCTTTGCTCCGTTGGAAGTTCCATTCTGTTGTATGAGGACAACACTTGTAGTTGGTGTGATGAAAGGATGCAGATTGTCCGTTGGATGTTGTGCTTTTGTATTTGAGACGGACCACATTAGATATCAGCGCGAAATTGACACATTCATGGGATTCGAACCCATGAACTCCTAAAAAGGAGTATCCGCAAAATGTGTTCTTTGTGTGGCCAGGAAAAAGAGAGAGCTACAGGGCTTCTCCCAAACCGACTGGCAGACAATACGAAACGTAGAGGACAAGACAGTACCACACAACACAACACAAAACACACAACCGACGACACAACATCCAACAACCCACAACCCACTAACTCTGTAGCTGAAACGACAAAAAATATGGTGAGTTGTTCCTAGAAAATGAAGCATCACAATTAGCATGAAGGCAATCTGGCTGGGGTTTAACTGACGGCATGGATATGGGGTGGCTTCTTAGGGTTGGATACTGAAACTAAACTACGATCGTCTTTGTCTGAAAAACACAAAAAAAATTATTAGTAGCTCCCTAGAAAACGAAAAGCAAAACACAGTTAGACAAGCAGTGAGCCGTGTTTCCAGATACGGGGACAGAGATTCTTAGCTAACAGCGGGGCCACGGGGTCTACTTCTATTTAAAAAATTAATTATA